TGTCCCTTGTTTGGTTTCCCAACTTCTCTATCCACTATCATCAAAGGTCTAGCAGGTGGCAAAGGGAGACAGACACTGCTCATTTTGATTATGCAACCCATGCTGGTTCACAGAGGGGAAAGGGTTCAGCTTGTTCAGCAAACATGGACTGACTGTCTACTTCTGCCGCCTGGTTGGCACTGCCCCAGGTGCTTGCTGTATGTGTGCTGTGGACTCCAGCCAGCAAGCCAGCAAGCCAGCAAGGGAGCTTGGGATGCAAACTGAAGGCATGATTACCACCACAGAGTAGTGCGCTCACCAAGGAAAGGTAGGACTGCTTCATTCTGCTCTGCTGACCAAACCCAGGCTTCCAGGAGCAAATACTCAGACTCATGAGATGATAGAGAACAGGAGCCAGAAAAGACTACTCAGGAATCATATACCTCGATTTGGTAAAAGGATGGGGTGGGCCTGAGTTGGGGAAAGTCACAGAGCAGGAGACCTGCCTGGGGGCAAAAGGATCTGACAACTGCAGTTACCTTCCCCTTTTTTTTTTTTTTTTTGGTATTGGAGACTGATCCCAGGGGTACTCTACCAGTGAGCTACACCCCTAGCCCTTTTTATTTTGAGATAGGGTCTCACTAAATTGCCCAGGCTAGCCTTGAACTTTCAATCCTCCTGCCTAAACTGGGATTACAGACTGATTACAACTAGGATTACAGGTGTACACATCCATGGCTGCCTGGCAGTGCCTCTTAAAGTGCTTTCAACCAGAGTCTTGCACAAAGGCTATCAATAGACATTTGCTGAATTCATCAACTATTTATAGGTACTGAAAATACCACTGCATTCCACTTATATTTGATTCCCATCATCCAGGAATCTGTACTGATGGTAACTTGATTTGCAAAGGGTTTTTTTTTTTCCCTCTACTGAAAGCCCTCTAATCCATTATCTCATTGATACTCATAATGTTACTAGAAATTAGATAGGTATTCATTCATTCTTGTCTTCAAAATGAAGACTCTTGGGCTGGAAAAAGTGAATTAATTTGTCCAAATTACAAAGGCAGTATAGCCAATTTTCGCTAACTTCGAGGCTAGTCTGTCTACATTAAGTCTGGAGTTTCTCACTATTTCTTCCCATACACACACACACACAAGAACTGCAGCCAATATACAAATATTTGTGAAAATATACAACAACAGAATACCAGAAGAAAGTACAGGAAAATATTTTAATAATATTGAGGTAGCATGACACAAAAATTCAAAAGCCACAGATTTTTTAAAATTTTTTTTTAATATTTATTTTTTAGTTTTAGGTGGACACAATATCTTTATTTTATTTTTATGTGGTGCTGAGAATCGAACCCAGTGCCTTACACATTGAAGGCGAGCGCGATACCACTTGAGCCACATCCCCAGCCCACCACAGACAGATTTAACAATGTGAAACTTTAAAAATTTTGCGTAAAGAGACACCATGAAAGTGATGAAAGCTTACTCACAGCTTTCTATTTCTCACTCATAATTTTACCCACTCAAATGTTTTCAAAATATTCTTGTGCCAGGTGAAGCGAGCACCTACAAACCCAGAGACTCAGGAGGCTGAGGCAGGAGAATTTCAAATTCAAGGCCAATCTCAATAATTTAGACCCTGTCTCAAAAATAAAATACCTGGATTTGTGCCTCAGTGGCAGAGCACTCGCCTAGCACACATGAGGCACTGGGTTCAAACCTTAGCACCACATAAAAATGAAATAAAGATATTGTGCCCACCTACAACTAAAAAAAGAAAAAGAAAAAAAAAAGGTTTGGGGGTATAGCTCAGAGACAGAGTGCCCTGGGTTCAATCCCCAGTACCAAAACAACAGCAGCCAAAAAAAAAAAAAAAATTTTCTTTGCTCTTTTTGCAATTATTCTTTTTCATGTCAATTTTAAAAAACATTTTTAGTTGCAGATGGACATAATACCTTTATTTTATTTATTTATATTTATGTGGTGCTGTGGATTGAACCCAGTGTCTCACACATGTTAGGCAAGCGCTCTAGCACTGAACTACAACCCCAGCCCTCCATATCAATTTAAAAATCAGCTTAAGAGCTGGGATAGGGGCTGGGGATGTGGCTCAAGCGGTAGCGCACTCGCCTGGCATGCGTGCGGCCCAGGTTCGATCCTCAGCACCACATACAAACAAAGATGTTGTGTCCGCCGAAAACTAAAAAATAAATATTAAGAAAAAACTCTCTCTCTCTCTCTCTCTCTCTCTCTCTCTCTTAAAAAAAAAAGAGCTGGGATATAGTTTAGCAGTAGAGCTAAATAATAATCCCCACTACCCAAAAAAAAAAAAAAAAAAGTAAAACAATTAATTTAAATTCCATGCAAAGGGGCTAGGGTTGTGGTCCAGCAATGGAGTACTATTTAATTTAGCACTCGCCTGGCACATGCAAGGCCCTGGGTTTGATCCTCAGTACCACATAAAAATAAATAAATAAAATAAAGATATTGTTTCCAACTACAACTAAAAAATATTTTTTAAAATTCCATGCAAAATCGTGTAACTAGAATTTAGTTTACCTTAATCTACAGCAAGAATTGATGTCCCTATAAAACTATGACTACTACAAAACTACAAGACTACTATGTCTTCCTACTAGTGGACATAATAAAATGTCATCTAATTAGGCCTTTATGATTTCATTAAATAGTCTGTTTTGTTTTGTTTGTTTTTTCCTTTTCAAGACAGGGTTTCTTTTTTTTTTTTAGAGAATGATCTTTTTTAATATTTATTTTTTAGTTTTCGGGGGACACAACATCTTTGTATGTGGTGCTGAGGATCGAACCCAGGCCACACACATGCCAGGCGAGTGGGCTACCGCTTAAGCCACATCCCCAGCCCTCAAGACAGGGTTTCACTATGTTGCCCATACTGGCATAGAGCTCTCAATCCTCCTGCCTCAGCCTCGCAAGTTGCTAGGACTACAGGCATGAGCCATAGCACCCAGGTTGGTTTTCTTAACTTATGACTGTGGCAGGAGCCTGAGGCAGTAGGATTACAAGTTGGAGGCCAGCCTCAGCAACTCAGACCTCCAACAATTTAGTAAGACCCTGTCTCAAAGAGTATAAAGGAATGAGGATATAAGTCCCTGGTAAAACACCCCTTGGTTCAATCCCCACCACCAAAAAATAAATAAATCTGACTTTCAGTTCCCTATTAAAATTTTTTTCTAGAAATGTAATAGTTTTACTGTAAATGAGATTATTCTATGACATTTCGTGGTTATTCTTTTCATATTTTACTTATATAATTTGTTCTCATGCTGGAGATTGAACTCGGTGCTTTACTACTGAGCTACACTTCCAGTCCTTTTTTTTTTTGTATCAGGGATTGAACTCAGGGGCATTCAACCATGGAACCACATTGGCAGCCCTATTTTGTATTTTATTTAGAGACAGTATCTCACTGAGTTGCTTAGCACCTCCCCATTGTGGATGCTAGCTTTGAACTCAGGATCCTCCTGCCTCAGCCTCCCAACCTGCTGGGATTCCAGACCTGCACCACCATGCCCTGCTCATTTCCAGTCCTTTTTATTTTTGATTTTATATAATTTTTATTTGTTAATCTTACATCTGGCTATGTTGCCGAACTCTAATATTAATTTTACTATTTCGTCAACTGTTTCTCTTTATAAATGAATATATTAACATAATGAGACTTTTCGGTGCCCAGAAGCTCTATTGAATTAGTAGGTTTTTTGTCGTTGTTTTTTGCAAAGTTGAGAATTGCACCCAGGGCCATGCACTACATCTACAGCCCTCATTTTTAATTGATATACAATAGAATATTAGTGTTAATGGTAAACATTCTTGACTTGTTTCTCTTGTTGATAGGCGATTTACAAAAACAATTAAAATGGTCAAAATGTAAATGTAATAAGAGGTTTTTTTTTTTTTTTTTTGGTACTGGGGATTGAACCCAGACCAGGAGTGTAGCTCAGAGGGACTGAACCCAGTTGCTATGCAACTGCAGTACCGCTAAGCTACACGCCCCCCCCCTTTTTTTTTGTAATTAAAGATTTATCTCTGGAAATGTTTTGCTCTCTCAATCTTATTCAATTTTGGGATGACACTAAAAGCACAAAGAACTTGCTTTCAATGGCCCAAAATGTTGACAGGTTGGGGAAATAAAATTTGTGTACAAAAGTTGATTGGGAATTCTTGTTTTTTCATCATAAGCATTTTTTCTTTAATAGAGCCATCAATTTTCCTAAGCTCACAACCTGATAGCACCTACAGCAGAAATTAGGTCTTAAATGGAATCAACATTTCCTTCAGTAAAGTGCATCTTTAGCAAGACCCCCTCCCTAACGGCTAAAGTTGGGAATAGAATTTGAAGATGGGTTCAATTTTTCCATTTTTCTAATTCAGCCCGGCCCAGGGACCAAAATGCATGCCCAACTGTCCAACTAGTTTTGTTGGAAACTAAGGTAGGTTCTATGTCCTTTTCCAGCGAAGTCAGAGCTAGACAGCCTGGAATAAAGATAAAAGGTAACCAGGATGTCCTCTGACTTCTGCGAGGACGTGAGCATGGCAGCCTCGGGCTACTCAAGGAACTCCTTCGAGACACTCATTTTCAGATTATGGTTGGGTTTACAAGGCAGGACTGTGCAAAGAAAGTTAACTCCTCCCAGCTGACCCTAAAATCTGCGGGTCTGGGCCCGATAGCAAACTCAAGGAAAGACAAACCTGACCGAGTTAAAGGAAAAGATCAGAAGTGTGAACTATCTGGCTTCTACTTAGGACTCCGACCCCAGAAGCGACGGAAGGGAAAGAAGTGGCACTTTTTCAAAGAGTCTTAGCCAGCTCTCCCAAGAAGCCCTCTCAACCAGCGCCCGGAGATTTCAGGAATCCTATTCCTGCCCTCAGTCAAGATGGCGTCCCGGGCTCGCATTCGCCACGGCGCACGCGCCAGCCCTCCGGTCCGCCCTCCTCCCATCCTCCCGCGCGCCTCATCGCCAGCTCGCCAGCTGCAGCGCTCCGCGCGTCCCCAGCCTCACCCCTTTTCTGGCTGTCCCCGCCTGTCCAGACTCCCGATCCCGGAAGTGGATGTTGCCGCTCGGCGGAGAGAACGAGGGGGAGGGGGAAGTGCTTCCGGGGAAACGGGCCCCGGGTTGGTGTTTGTAAACTTGCCTCGGTCCCGGCGGGGACAGCGGCGGCCGCAGGGTTGGCACGGAGTGCTGGGGCCTGAAGGAGGCGCCGCGCGGCTGGGGAGGCAGCGGGAAGTCGTGCCTGGCAGGTAGGCGCACGCCCCAAGGTGCGCAGCGTCGTCCAGGCGGACGGCAGCGCTTCAGCAGCTCGCAGGCCGTGGGACGCCGCGCGGGAAGGGGGAGGGGAGGGGAGGAGGGGCGCGTGGCAAAAGGAGGGGGTCTGGGGGAGGGCCGCGCGCGCACCGCCTCCTGCCGCCGCGTCCCCGACCCTGGAGACGAACGCTCGTTTGGAAGGGACGCGGGCGCGAGCACGCACCTCGCGCTATGCTCGGCTCTCTTGTCTTTTCGGCTGGGTTGGTGCGGCGGACGCTGCAGCTGCCTATCTGGGTGGCTGGAGGGAGGGAACGCGCTATGCCTAGCTTTGCATGCCCGCCCTCCACCTCCGCAACGAGTTTACGTACCTTCGGGCAGACTCAGAGAACATACACGTGTGGGCACTGCCAGTGTGGTTTCTGCCCGTCGCCTCAGCGCCCAGCGATGGCCCCCGAGCTTTCCTCCACCCCGGGTCTCTCAGCCTCTGTAGAGTGCCAGCTTTGCGGGCCGGCCCACTTGGCCCAAAATCCCTGAAAGGCCTCCGCCCCCTTCTTCCATTCCTAAGATGGCAAATCCAAGCAGTAACCCTGTTGACAGAGTTACTCTCTAAGAGGTCCCTGTTACTTTTGCTTCTGTTGGCTGCCCCTCCTTGCCTACGAGACCAATTTCTTCTACTGACCTAGAAAGAACGCTCTCCTGACTCATGTCTTCTTTCTGAGCTTCAGAGTGCGCCCAGCAAAAAAAAAAAAAAAAAAAGTTCACGTCACTCTATGGCCTGAGGATGTTGCACTTAAGGGCCCCATCTCCCTCTTTGGTTTCAGGTTTCTGGAACAAATCAAGAGCTAAATCAAGAGAATTCAACTGGAAAACCAAGACTAGAAGACTCTCTTTTCTTCAGACAACAGGCAGAAGCCAAAGAGAGACCAGGGATTCTTGGAACACCTGTTTTCCCTTTGGAGGACACAAAGTTCTTTTGGGAGACAAAGGCAGTTCAATATGGCAGCAGGACTGAGAGGACATGAGGGAGCCATTACCTTGATTTGGTGACAGTTCTTCAAAAGGCAGTGTCTTAAGGAAAGCTGGATCAAGGAACTCCTGAACTTTGGGTTGCATTAAGTGAAAAGTCAGCATGGCTCAGGTAAAAAGCTCTAAAGTCCTCCTTCAAGATCACTGGGAAGCCTCTTTGCAGTTACACTCTTGAATGCTGCCCTAGTCAACAATATTGACCAACCCAGTGAGCCAAGCTCTGTATTAAACACCAGGGGGAGATCTAGAGGAAGGAAAGGAGACAGGCCACAGCCCCTGCCTTCAGGGAGCTTCCAGTCAAATGAAGGAGGTAGGCTATACTGCATCACAGGCACTAATGAAACTTTTGCAAAGCAACATGTACTCAGTGTGCATTTGGTACATTAAGTGCTGAGGGGCATAAAAGAGTACATAGTCTGGTGAATGCTTCGTTTGTTGTTGTTTTTTTTCCAACAGGAATTTATTGAGCTCCTGTTACATGCAAGGCATTGTGCTGGGAATACAAAGATGAATAAGATTGTTCTTGTCCCCAGTAAGCTTCCAGGCTACTTGGGTTTGGGGGGAAGGGACGGAAAGACAGTCTATTATTTTTATATTCACAATGCCTTGCATAGTGGCTGACTAGTAGTAGAGACTGAAACTGTTGGTTGAAGGAATGTACAAAAAATAGACATATATACACCGCAGAGTGATACTTCTGCCTAGATGGAAGAAGATGAAGCTTGAAGAATGCAAAGGATTTTGCTAGATTAACAAACAGAGAAGGACAATCAGACAAGGGATACTATGTAGACAGAGGCTTAGACTAAAGGAGAATGAGGAGGTACAAGGTGTGCAGGTAGTTTGGTAGTTACGAAGCAAAGGATTTAAATGGGTATAATTTGGGAGATAGGGTAGATAATGTTGGTGGGGGGTGTTTTCCTGGAGAAGTAAGCAGAGTATGACCCCAGGGCCTTTTATGCCTTCCTGAGGAATTAGATCTTATTTATAGGGAATGAGGCCTCCCTAAATAATGTTAAGCAACAGAGTAACATCAAATCACTATGTTTAGAAGGTAATTGTCATTGTGCAAGTGGAGATGGATTGGAGGGACAGGATGACTAGATAGCCTGTTGTAGTCATCTAGGTAGAAAAGCTTTGTGCACACATTCCCAGAGCTGCTTCTAGCTTTCTTCCAGGGAACCTCCCCTACCAGTCTCACCAGGATGGCAGCCTGATTATAGTATAATTGGCTTTCTTCCAGCTGCTTCTGCATGCACAGCTTCCTCCTTTCCCTGCAGAGTAGAAACCCTTTGGTTTCTTCTTCCTTTGTCTGTTTGCGGCCCATTCTACAACATTAAGTTCACTCTTATTTTGAAAAGATTGCCTTTCACTAAACACTAACTCTGCTAAGCACTGCCAAGCATTTTACATTTTAGTTTAGTTCTCATCAACTCTATGAGAATAGGCACTATTTATTTAGCTTAAAAAGTGGAATAACTTGCCCAAGATTACAGTACAAACAGCAGTGATAAGATTTTTGATTCTGGACCTTTCACTCCAAAGTGTCCCTGAAGGTGGGAGAAGGGATTCCCCACCTGATCATTTATAAAGAAAGGAATTTTTTTATAAATTTGGGAGTTTACTGACCAACTATTTTAAGTTTTTTTGTCAGTAAAAGAAACATATCGAGTGATACTAAACAAAGTCAATTTGAAGAATGCAGCAGTGAAAATAGGTTATTTGCTTAAATATATCTTATTTAAGTAACTTGTCAACTTTATGCGGAACAGAGAATATGAAAAAATGTAGATATGCATACATATAAATGGCCTAAGGAGTCAAAAGAAATTGTTTATTCAACTTCAGAATCCTTCCAAGTAGTTTGATTTTTACATCTGCTGTAACTGACAACACTTATTAATATTTAAAGAGAAATAACCTCTGCTGGGTTTCTGATCTCGTGACTAAAAGGCTCAGGGGTCACTCCAGTTAAACTGGGCTAACTGGGCTGCACGAAATAACCACACAATAGAGACAATACCTTTTTCTTTGGGGTCACTGTGACAGCTCCTCTGACCTTAAGGGTTCACAGAAAGAGAGTGAGAGCACTCGCTGACCCCTTTTATTGAGGATAAACTATTCAAATGAGGCAAGGGGTCAGGTTTCAGGGGGCTGAGTATCTTCATGATGTCCACTGTCAGCAGATTGACTGACACCTGGGTAGGCCACACCCAAGGGCACAATAAGAGAAGGGGACACATATAAGGCACTTCCATGGGAGATTCTATCCTAAACCGGGCAAGGGGTTATATTACAAAGGAACAAATGAGCATAGCTTCACTCATGGGGCTGTAGCAAGACACACCCATGCACGAGACATCGACCCTCAGACCCAAGAAGGGTGGGGAAAGCTCTGCCACATTTCTGCGACTGAGCGCCTCAGCACCCAGCTGGGGAGTGTAACTCAGTCACATGTAAGGTTGGTCTCCCACAAACCTCCTAGAATATATAGTTGGTACCAATAAGGTCTGCCAATCAGAAATGGGCTCTGAAATTGAGAGCTTTTGAGAGAGAGGAGAAAAGTCCTCTAGGCATTTCCCATTTCAGTGGGTAATATTGACACATCTCATATCCACTCAGTGTTAAGGCCTAGAAATACTTTCAAAGTAATTTGTAGCCACATACACTGTACTTAGCACAGTACTGCTGACAAAGGTGTTGATACTGCTTGATTATTAACTTCATGTGTGTTTTAATGCTGAAGAACAACAGAAAAGGAACTGGTGAGATGAGTTGGGGAGGATCTTGAAGGAAGGAGGGTTTGGCAGTGAGGAGGGCTGCTCCCTGGAGAGAAGCAATTTGTCTGTAGCTGGGTGTAAAAGGCAGTTCTATAGAAGATGGCAGCCTGTTTTTGCCCTGCCTTGCCAGGTGATCTGACACCTCCTCTCCTTTCAACTTAGGCAAGTCTCCTGGCTTGTGAAGGCCTAGCAGGTGTGAGTTTGGTTCCCACTGCAGCCAGCAAGAAGATGATGCTGAGCCAGATTGCCAGCAAGCAGGCCGAGAATGGCGAGCGGGCAGGTAGCCCTGATGTGCTGAGGTGCTCGAGTCAGGTACAGCACTTGAGTCCACTGTGGTGCTTGGGGTTCGGGTGGCCCAAGCTTTGTGCCAGGAGACATCAAGCTTTGATTCCTCAGCGCTTCTGTTTAGGAAAGTGGGAAAAGGGAGTACAGCTGGGGAATGAATGAATGTAGATATTTTAGAAAATTGAGGAAGGTCTTTTTATACAACAACCCCTTGAGACCAAGGACATGGAGAGAAACAGAAGAGTACTTTTTCTAAGCCTTTGGAGCAGGTGGTTACCTGTCATTTAAAAATTGTCAGAAAGTAGTATCTGGTCTCTTATATTGTGTTCTGAGATGGACTGTGAGTTTAGGTTTGATTTGTCTTCAAAGGGCCACCGAAAAGACAGTGATAAGTCCCGGAACCGGAAAGATGATGACAGCTTGGCTGAGGCTTCTCACTCAAAAAAGACTGTTAAAAAGGCAGGTAATGGGGTAATCCCCCAAACCAGTACAGTTTAGTAATGGGGTAATCTTTTCTTTCCACTGTGATTCTCCCTGGAACTTTCCCTAAATGCTTTCATCCTTCATAGCCAGTGTGTATCCCCTGATTTCACCCAGAGTCCACTTTAGTAGTTAATACCTACCCTTGCTGAAACATCTTTGGTACAGGTCAGGGAACATGATTTATACTGTTCCCTAGGGCAGGGACAGACTAACTCCAGCTCAGGTCATGCTCAGACTGTTGAGTGTAACAAGACAGGCATCTTACCCACTCCACCTCCTTTCCCAGAGGAACTCTTAACCCTGAGGAATGTGGGAGATGTTGGCATCTTTAGATATCATCAGAGAGGTTCTTCATCCAGCAGCTGAAAATGGACCCAGAGTAGAATGGTCTCTAGGAAGAGGGCAGAGGAATAGCCTCATGACATGCCTGATTGTTGCCCCCAGGTGGTGGTAGTGGAACAAAACGGTTCTTTTCAAGTAAAGATTCCAAAAAATTTTATTTGTGAACACTGCTTTGGAGCCTTTAGGAGCAGTTACCACCTCAAGAGGCACATCCTTATTCACACTGGTAAGTCTCTTGTTTATATTCACAGGGGGAGAATAGTCTATAACTTTTGTTCTGTGATGAGATATACCTGTTTAGTTGGGTTTACCTTCCAGGGGAAGCATTAGAAATGGAGGAAGTGGATAAGTAAATGAGGTATAAAGAGTGCATAGCTCTGTTTCTGGTGTCACTGAGACCAGCAGTTTTGGGGATCTCTCCACTATATTATAGTTTAGATGACTAAGAAGATAGCTGGAACCATGTCCCTACCACATACACCTCTTGACATTCACTTCTGTCTCCACCTGGGTTAGGTGAGAAACCATTTGAGTGTGATATATGTGATATGCGATTCATTCAGAAGTACCACCTGGAACGCCACAAGCGTGTACACAGTGGTGAAAAGCCTTACCAGTGTGAACGGTGTCATCAGGTAAGGCTCACACGTCATCCAGCCCCATTACGGCTCCACACATAAACTTCCTTACCCAAGAACCAGGGCCAGGCCCCACTCCTGCCACCCAGTGTTCCTTGCCATAAAAGATGAACCTCAGGATGAGGTTCATCCCTCTGGCCTCATGCAGCTGCTTAGGGGGAAGGGTTAGAATATTAAAATAATAATAGCCTTTCTTGAGCACTTAATCTGTGCCAGGTACTGTGAGAACATACTTTACATAGATATTTTTTGTTTGTTTTTTAGTAAATCTTCACATTAACTCCATAAAGTAGCTGTGTCGTCCTCATTTCAATTATGGGGAAATTGAGATTCAGAGAAGTTAAGTTTTCCAGGGACACAGCAGATCAAGGGCAGAGCCTGGATTCAGTCCGACTTGAGAGCTCCTGCACTTTGGAGGAAGAGATGTAATCTTTGCCCTGAGGTCAGCATCTGATCTGATGAGAATGTCAATGCCAGGACCAAAACAAGACAAGAACAAGAGATGAGAATGATAGTGGTAACACTTCCTGGATGCTTTGCTAGGTCTCGAGCTTTGTTCTGCACTCTTACATGGAATCTTCCAAATGCTAGAGTGAAAGTCCCATGAGGGCAGTGACTGTCCTTCTCACTCTCCACCCTGTCCTCAGCCCCAAGAACTGTACCTGCTTTGAGATAGATGCTCAGTAATATTTGATGAACAAAGCAGCTATGGTGTGAGTAGGAACATTTAGCCTCATCTTACAGATAGAAGAGTGTGCAGATTCAGGGCTATGAAATAACTTGCCAGGGTCACACAGCTCCTAAGTGGTAGAGTCAGGATTCGGTGCCAGGGGCTCTGGCTCCAACAACTGCTTTCTTAACCACTGTGCTTGTGTCATCTGCACATGTTGAGAGGAAGTAGAATATGACATATGCCTTCTATGTGGTGAAGGAGCTTGTTAATGGGCCACTGAGTTTTTCCTCCCTTTTTTCTCAGTGTTTTTCTCGGACAGATCGATTACTCAGACACAAACGGATGTGCCAAGGGTGCCAGTCGAAGACTTCCGATGGGCAGTTTTCTCTTTAGGCGCAAGGGGTCCTGGGTGGTGGGAGTGATCAGAAGAATCTACAGAAGAGTGCACACCCTTTCTGGTCTGATGGTCCCACCACCACCCCATCTGAATCTGTCCCCCTCCTGGAGGAGTGGACCCAGGAGACCAGAAGAATGCATCGGGACAGTGGCTTCAGAGCCTCAGCTCTGTAAATAATCTGAGACTATGAGTATCTCGGGGAAGTTCCTACAGCATTCCTGGGTAGGGGAGCTAGTCCCTGGACCCTTGACTGAGGTCATAAGTGAGGACTCAAGGTACAGGACCAAGACTGAAGTATGGCTCCCACAACCTTGGACTCCAACTGGCAGCTGAAATGGAAAAGATTGGGAAAGGGGATTTGTTTGTTGTGTTCTTATTTTTGTTTATCCAAAAGCAATTTCAGCAGGTAAACTATGGACACAGGTAATCTGGAGGCTTAAAGTCCTGATCCAGAAGCAAGGACTGTGGCTAGTCCAGCCCTACCCCAAGATTGAGTTATAGTAGATCCTGAACGTTCCACAGTCCTGCACCTCACCTCCTATTTGAAGGAGAATAGGATCAGGGATGGCAGCTGAGCTTACTTTGACTTTCTTATACACTGTAGGGACAAAAGTGAAGACAGTGGGAGGAGCAGACAAGGGCTGGGTCCAGGAAGAGTGAAGAGTACTGCTTACCTCCTCAAGAGCAAGAATGTGCCCATGGGTGTTGTAATGGCCCATGTTGCGCCATTCGTGATGGGATCAGCTCAAGTGCCTTCTGGAGGAAACTTGGGTGACAGTGGTCCATGAAGCCCTTTCCTTCTCTCTGGGCAATTGGTCTTGTATATGGTTTATGGCTACCTCACTGTCATTGACTCCTAAAGCCAGACAGAGGTGTTGAGCAGGGAGTCAAGGATGTTAAAGTGGGTTCTCTTCTTGTGTCCTCTAAGGAAAACCCAAGACTAGTCCCAAATTGGCTAACAGTACTTAGAGAAACAGGAATTGGAGCCCTGACATGACTGTTGTGCAGGAGGAGCAGTTCTCCCTGCCCAAGTCCTGTATTCAGGTAGAGGAGATAGGAGCCTGGCCTTGTGTCCCAAAGAACAAGAATTTGGCTCCCTTCTTGATGGCCATTCCTACCCAACAAAGATGGGGAGAGAGGGATGCTGCAGAGGAAGGACTGCAGGAAGAAACCTAATTAGGTTTCATTCTTAACCGTGCTTCTTGCTCCTTTCTGCTCCACCACTCTTCACCTTCAAGAAAGTGATCAGATGAGTGTGTGGTATGTGAGTGCTCACGTTTGTGTGCTTGGAGGAGATGGCATGTTGTTGAGCCAAACCCTTCTATCACCCTCAACTTAGAGGAGGATGTGCATAAAATAGCCTCCTGCCCAGAACTGAAGGGTGCTGGGGTCCCAGCAGGAGCTGAGGAACTCTTACTTAGGGAACAAAAAGGCTTTGTTCCAGAGGAGGTTTTTTAGACTGATTCAACAGGATGGTGGTTAGGATGTTTCTAACCCAAGCCAGGGCTTGTAAACATGAATTTTCTACGGTGAAATAAAAACAAACAAAACTCTCCTTATGCTAACAAAAGGATCCTTATGGAAGGTTCTGGGATTTGACTCCATGTGGTCTGCATTTGGAGGTAGGGCGCTGTCAGGTGTAATCATGAAATTCTTATAGGGAATAAACAATGGCAGCAATCTCTGAGAGGGTTGGGGACAGGGGTCCTCCATTTCCCTGAGGTAGGGGTATTTCAGGGAAAAAAAAAAAAGGAGACCTGGCACCCTTTAGCTTTTGGAGGACAGCATCTGAGGTTTTGGGGAGAGATGTTTCCCACCATGTGTTGCCCTAGCTTTGTGCTGACACTCCCATTTGACATGATCCAGAACCTAAATCTTGGTCCTCAGATCCTTGCCGTGGTCCCTGCAAGGAAAGGGCCAGCCCCCTACCTATTACAGGGCTTTGCTGTGGCTGGGATTTTTCTATTAAATTTAACTCTGGGAAGGAAGATACCTTGAGAAAGCTGTCCTTTTGAAAGTGGGAACTCTCCCTGCCACTTGGAGCTGATCTGTTTGAAATGTAGAGAGAATCACATGAGTGATGTGTGCTTCTTTATGTTCAAATGCTTGTGCTAGTCAGAATGTCCTTTGACACACACACCTCAGATCTGGCCACCTGCCTTGGTGGGTGGAAGTAAGAATTTCTGAGCAGTGCATATGGCCATACCAGAACCATTCCTGCTGAGGCTTGGGAATGGTGATTAGTCCAGTTCACGTGCTGATGTGGGGCAATTGATGTGTGAAGAGATGAGCAAAGGGATGAAAGGAGTGAGCACCCACAGGCACAGGAGCCCTGCTTCTACCCCATGGAATCCATAGAATTGGGACTGCTGCAAAGGCTCCTGGGCCCAATACCCCACCCCTCCTCTGCAGGGTTGGGGCTAAGCACTGGAAAGATGCCTCAGGTGTGTTTGGAGTGAGGGGAAATGGAGATAGGGCAGGCTTTTAGAGACCAGGATATGGAATTGGAGGACCTAGGAAAGAGTAGTGCCAGTTCCTGGGTAAGCTCCTGCACCAGGCCATATCAACCCTGCCCTTCTCATCTTTTCCGTCCAACCCCAGCAGCCTCTTTTCATCACTTAGCTACTGATTGTGCCCCACAGCTTGACATTGGAGGGTTAAAGGAGTGGAGTCCCAACACAGCTTTTAGCCCTCTTCCCAGATGCTCTTTGCCTCTACTGTGGCCCTAGGGCTTTTATCTTCAATAATCCCCCTCCTATCCTTCCTCTCCACCCTTTTTTTTTTTTAATATACTTATTTTGCTATGGGGGTGGGGACTATCAAATGAACAAGATCACTTTTAAATGGTAGTTTTTATAAGATGTTATAAACTTGTATCTTTTTACCATTAAAGTGCAGTGTATGTTCCTTCGTGATATATTTCGGATATTTAAATAAAAATAGTGGGGCTTTTCTACATTTCATCTCCTCTTTGGGAAGACTGTCTTTTGGGGAAAGCTTTTTTTCCTGCAGAGAAGCAAAGAGTAGAAGCAAAAACTGCATGTGTTCTGACAGCAGGACAGAATGTCAGACACCAGTAGAAGCAGTGTCAGTGTGATTGTTTCCTTATTTGTGATCATCATCAGTTACCTGAGAATCCAGACCCCTCTGGCCCAGGGAGGTGGAGCCAATTGTTTCCAAGCTACTTCCTGCCCTCAAGTGGCCAGAGGAGAAATGGACTTTAGCTTTTGTAGGCTCGGGCTGAACAGCCTATTTTGGCCTTGGTGGGCTGAAGCGAAGTGACAGTTACAGTCTGAGGTAAGATTTTATTGTATACTTAGGTTGGGTACGGTTGCTTTTTTTTGAGGTGGAAAACAAAGTCACAGCAGTAGGAGCAGCCCTCTGAGTATCACTCTGAAAATGAAGTTGGGTGGCGACCACTCCTCACCAGCGGATTAGTTCCTTAGATTGCTGCCTGATAGCTACCCCCTTCCCCAATTCCCACTGTCATCCCAGAGACAAGAGCCCTGGGTGAGACTCCTTCCTCCTCAAAGAATGGGACTATCAGCCCCTTCGAAGCGGGGATTGATAGTAGTTGTGATGGCACTTTTGTAGAGAGGATTGCTGTCCTGTGGGAAAAGGTTGCAAATTATGAGGGGAAAATCTTAGGATTCCTCTTCCCATTTCCTAGTCCTAGGAGCCCAACCTAGAACTAGCGCAAGATCATAGGAGCTGAAGGAAGACAGCAGAGGGATTGGTTAAGTCTGCAGAGGATGCTCCTAGATGGGAATTGAGGGCTGGTTGTGTGGTGGAGAAGCCGACAGCAAGAAAGGGACCCAGCCAGTGGAATAAGAGGCTGTCTCCTCACCTCCTTCCAGTTGAGTTGCTGCCGCTCCTTCTCAAAGCGACTATATTCCCTGCGGTCATAGATTTCCACTGAAAGCCGATAAGCCAGGACCAGCCCCAGTCCCACTGCCACGATGCCCCCTACACAGCCCAGCACAATGGTCTGAGTCTGGTCTGCTCCCTCTGTGAGGAAAGAAACAATACAGATTTCTGAGGGATAAGGCACAGGGACAGATCAGCAGTTGCCCACAATGAGTCCTGCCTCCCAAACTCTGTCACTGAAAGCAAAAGGAATCCAGAAGGGTCCAAGTTTATCCTCTCTGTCTGAGGCCTTAGACTTATCACTTTTTTCTGCCTTTGCACTATATTTATTTACAGCTCTGCATCAAATCCAGCCTGGTTTCCCATTATTATCACATCACATGCCCAGCTCTGAGACCCTGCACATCAAATTTCCAGATCTATTTAGCATGTCCATGGCCTCTCTACCCACTTACTCTCTTGGGGTTTCACTCTAAGCGTCACTCTGCCTCCAGCTTCATCCTCCACCAGGAAGAAGAACAGCTGGTTGTCTAGTGTCCTTTCTTTGCACCAGCCATCATCCAAGATAGGGGTCAAAGCCAGGGTCACGTTGGCATGGGCACAAGCCATGCTGCAGCTGGCAGCCAGGGGGCCTGTCCCAAAGGCCCCACACTCTGCACAGTCCCTGTGGATACCAATAAGTTAGCAGCTGAGCACTTGTTACTTACCAGCTGTCACCTACACCCCGCACAGGAAGAGCAGGCAAGTGTGAGTGCTAAGCAAACCCACTGTGTCCCTGTTCTCAGGATGCAAGACCTGAAGCCTCACCTGTATCTCTCACACGGTGTCTTGCAGCCTGGGCACTGGTCACACAGAGCACCATAGTAGCCATCCAAGCACTGGCAGCGATTGCATTTGCAGTGTCCATGCCCACTGCAGAGCTCTCCCTCAGGACTGACACAACTGTCCATGTCCCCACTGCACTCACATGCTCTGCCCGTTCGATTGGCATGACAGTGACATACTCCACATTGGCAGCGGCCAAAGCCTGGGGTAGAGCCATGTACAGGGTGATAACCATCCTCGCACACAACTGGTTATCACACACCACCACATGCACTCAATTCCTCTCAAGTGTGCCTGACTCATCCTCCAATTCATACACCAGAATATTTGGCACTTGCCTTCAGTGCCATAAGACTCCTAGAGTCTTAAGTGCTCTTGGGAGGGCCCCTCTGACCCCACCCTCTGCCAAAATCTCCAGGTACCTCCACAAAGGATGCCCTCATGTCGCTCACAGCTGGCATCATCACACTCGCACAGACGCCCAGAACTTTGTCCACTACAGCTGCATCGTCCACATTGGCACCGACCCTTCCCACTGCATAGGGGTCCTGTCCCATTGGGGGCCCGGCACCCAGATTCCAGATCCGGGGAGGACAGCTCAGCCTCAGAACACTCACAGAGTCGACCCAGGCGGCCAGAGGCACAGCTGGAAGGGGAAGTCAAGAAGGGAGAGTTGGACCATTCCTGACTTTTTTCCTAGGATCCTCTAAACCCAAGTCCTTAAAAGTTGGAGAGAGATACCAGGGTACAGTGGAGCACCAAGCATGGAAGGAGGGAAGAATGGAGGGTTCTGTTGAGGGGAGAGCCTGGGCATATTCAGGAAGCACAGACACATGGCATTCAGTGGAGTTTTGGGATGTTCAGGAGATCCCAGTGGGAGAGTAGGAAGCAAAGAGGAACACGAGGAGTGGTCACTTGTAGGAACCAGATGGGTAAAGGGACCAAGAGACTCACCTGCATATTCCACACTGAAGGTCTCCCTGGCCATTGCTGCAGTGGGGAGCCTGGGGCTGGGTATCACTGCAGTTACAGTCACACAGCGTGTGCAGCTCCACAGTCAGCTCCTCAGAGAAGCCAAGTGCTCGGAGCCTCAGGAACTGGGGCTCTGGGAGGCAGTTATTAGCTTGGAGGGTAACCCAGAAATTCACCTGAGGACAGGGCAGGCAGGAACCAGACTGTTATACACACATGCATGTGTGTACACACACACCCCAAGCCCGCCAATCATGCAGGACTCTACTCCTTAGTAAATTAAAGGACAGGATCATGCTAACACTATCTCCTAGAAACTCACTTGGGGAAGCCACTCACTGAACCCCCCTCAGAAAGGACAGGTGGAAGACTACCTTGGTTTTGCCTGTCCTGGCCGGCTCTTACCATCTGGTTAATTCGGACGTGGTTGCACTGTCCACGGTCCCCAGCCTCAACTTCACTCTTCTCAGAACCTCCACACTGGGATTCATAAGAGATATTGACCCCAGGAGGGAGTGAAAAGTGTTCCAGGGTCACAGTGGATGACAGGCTCTATGGGAAGAGAGGAAGCGAGCAACCAGATGAAGGCAGGAATCCCAGCCTCTGCCCTCTCTGGCCATACCCAGTTGTATCAGAACCCTGCCCTCTGCCACCCTGGGGCTCTTTCCCTTCTGCCCCAAAAGGGGACCTTTCTGGAGGAAGGAGCTATGAGAACCCTAAGTAAACTATCCAGGATCCAGAGGTCCCTACCACAGTATGGCAACCACAGGGGCTGGCCAAGTGCCATGAACATGCAGTGACCCTGTTTGTCAAACTCCAAAGCAGGACACATAACCAGTGTGCATGTGAGATTGAGTTTGTCCTGAGAAATCTGACACTATCTCAAAAATTTTCTCACCATGGTTTAAGACATGGTCCCTTTCATCAAGAGGCTGACAATCTGGATGTAGAGCTACAACCTAAGCTGAAGAGACACTTAAGACTTTCAGTGGGGTCTGGGGTTATGGCTCAGTGGTAGAACGTGTGCCTAGCATGTGTGAGGCACTGGGTTCAATCCCCAGCACTACATAAAAATAAGTAAATAAAATAAAGGTATTGTGTCCATCTACAACTAAAAATAAATTTAAAAAAATATCTTTCAATGGTTCCTTCTACCTGCAAAAGTTTATGATTCTTTTTAAAAATATTTTTAGTTGTAGATGGACACAATAACATTATTTGTTTATTTTTTTATGTGGTGCTAAGAATCGAACCCAGTTCCTAACATGTGCTAGGCAAACGCTCTACCACTGAGCTACAACCCCAGATCAAAAAGTCTGGTTCTAAATTGTTTATTTTTTAATTTTATTTTTTAAATTTATTTATTAGTGCTATGGATTGAACCTAGGAGTATTTTATCATTACAGCCCAAGCCCTTTTTATTTTTGAGAAGGGGTTTCATTAAGTTGCTGAAGCTGGGGTTTAGCTTGTGATCCTTCTGCCTCAGTCTCTCCTGTAGCTTGGATTACAGATGTGCACTACCACATCCAGCTGTCTGAATTGTTTGTAAACAGTGAACACAGGCTCTCATCTTACATTCTGTATGTATAGCCCTTTCATTGTTATCCATGTGAACTTGGGCAAGGCACTTAGCCTCTGTTTCCTCATCTGTAAAATAGTCAGAAAGCAGGTGGGGTTAAACTAGGTGGCGAACAGTATGTGCACTAGGACAGACTTGGCATGAAATAAAAGTTCAGGGAATGTGACTGTCCTTCCTTGCCCAGAATAGGGCTCAGCTTTTCGGGAGCCTGGGACGGGATCTCAAGGCCATTTCAGACACTTAAGATTTGTGAATGTGGGCTGGGGTTGTGGCTCAGTGGTAGAGCACTCGCCTAGCACATGCGAAGCCCTGGGTTTGATCCTCAGCACCACATAAAATGAATAAATAAAATAAAGGTATTGTGTCCAACTACAACTAAAAAATAAATATTAAAGATTTGTGAATGTGAGAGTGAGTGACAATGACAGCCATGTGTAAACTGTAGATAAGAGCTATAGAATGTTAGAACTAAAAAATGAGCATGGCCACTTAGTTCTGCCACTGCACCTTGAGAACTCCTTTCCATCTTTCCCTTGTGCCCACCCTCGCCATTCTCCCTCCCACCCTTGTGCTCACATCATAAGCATCCATGATGAGCTGCACCACATTGCTGGAGTCCTCACTCAGCTCGCCCACTGCAGACTTGGGAATCAGCTGACTCAGCTCCTGAGTTAGGAGGATTTGAAGAAAATGGTTGGACACAGCTTTAAGAAAATGGGC